TTCTGGCTTTTCTCATTACCGAAAGGAAACTGCAAGGACTACAAAACCCCGAATTCCCCCTAATCCCTCCTTTACATGGAGGTGATGTTTACTGTGGTATGCGAAGGCTATGACGTCTCAGTTTAAGCGAAAGAAGGAGCTTGACGTACCTGTCCGGAGAAACAAGGCCTGAAGAGTTTACTTGAAAAGAGACGTCGATTTAACGTATTGGAGAGGTGAGACCCGCGAAACGCTGCATCGTGTTTAACATCGACCGAGGAAACTGCGATATGCTTCATGGCGCGATTAAAGACTTTAATTAGATTACAGGTTGTCCCCCGGTGGAAGTGGGCGGCAGTTTTGGATGAAAGATTTAGCCCCGTGAGGCAGCGGCAGCCGAGTTTGGGACGGTGGGTGGGGACGCTGCAGTTGCTCTCGAGTGTGACTGGAGTGCCCACGAGTGAATTTATCCACTTTTATCGTTTTCCCTGCGCGGATTAAGCTTCGCTAGCTACTGTATATCACGACGTCATGAAAGTCGACGGTAAAAGTCAGCTGTGCGTGAAGTTTAAATTGATTGCTGAGCGGCCGAGAGCAGGAATTGAAACACAGTTCAGGCTGTAACGGCGTCTGTTACTGTAACAGATCAGCAGAGCTGAGTTTTCACGTCGCATTTTCCCTACGAACGCGTACTAAAGCGAGTTATTAATTCTGAATTAGTTATTGACAACAATGAAAGAGAGTTCCCAGGTCCCCATTTAATCTGTGGGGGAAAAAAAAAACCTGTTGTACAGTTGTGATTCGCAGACTCTCAAATTAAAAATACAGATCTATTTTCAGGGGGTTTGGGGGTACATTCAAACACGGCGCAGGGAAGTAAGTTTTAAGCCCTTGGTTTTTCGACTGAGAACGTAGCGATCTTGCTTGGCAAGGACCCGGGCTTCTGGAAATGACTCTTGTGTCTTAGGAAGTGTCCCCTTCCCCCTGTTTTTCCGACTCTCTTCCTGCACGACCTGGAGCCCGGCATTGACCCTCCTCTCTGCCGGAAAGGCGCTGGGAGACAAGGGGGGGGTTCTGGGTAGCGGTGACGTCACCGGGTTGGTGGCTCTTGTCAACAGTGCATTACACACGCTCCCTCTCTCCCTCCTATTCTATTGGTATTTAAACTGGTTCATGATCTGTTTCATACTTAAGGTCAAGATGTAGCCGTATTCCTGTGGTAGACCCACCTTAGGGGCGTTTTTCCCCAGTGCTAGAGGCTGACGGGCCAGTTTCACTCCCTTTCAGTTGAGGCTTCTTGCACAGAGGCCCTTCCAGACGACTCCATTCCAGGTCTTTCGTGTGACCAGCCCCTGAGCTGGCCTGTTGATCCTGCTCACAGTCTGAGGGGAGGGGTGTGATGGGTAGTGGAGAGCTTTTGGAGGGACAGCTGTTTGAGAAGCCCTGCTTTTATTTCAGGTGACATACTGTAAGACATGAGATGGGAGCTAAAAAAAAAAACATGGGGGCAGCAATGTGGCACAGCTCTGGGATTTGTAACTGGGAGGCTGTGGGTTCAAATCCCAGGTGAGACACTGCTGCAGTACCTGAATTGCTCCAGTAAAATATAAATGGGTGTGAAAATCACTGTGTACAAATGGGTGCACATGTAAGTCACTGTGGCTGAAAGTGCCATCAACAATAAGGGAGGAAAATGGGAGAGCCCTTCGGGGGGGCAGGATTCTGAAATAAGGTCGGAGGTGTTGGGCAGGAGGAAGGAGAAATAAAATGACACACCGTTCAGTCTTGTGCTTGAAGTTGAA